TGAAGAGCAGAGTAGAAGGAATTAAAAGTAGGCTTTGTGGATTGGCACAGCTAGGCTCAGGAGTTTCTTACTGTACCCATTTCCTCAAAGGAAGGAAGAAAATTGCTGATAGGGCCTTTCACCAGACACTACATACTGCACAGTAAATCATTGGTCCTGAATTACTGAACCCAGCAGAGCAGAGAAAATAGACACAAGCACAGCAAGGAGCTATCTTCTCTCCTGCATAGCTCTTTGATATTCATTTCATATTCTTCAAGTTTGGGCATAAAAGGACATCAGGTTTTATAATATAGTCTATTTCAAATCTCATATATTTTATTTCCATTCTCTTGTCCCATACTACCTCCATTCTCCTACTTCATCTTTTTGTTTTAAAGTCTATTGTCTCTCAGCAAAGTGAGAGTGGAGGGAGCATACTTCAACATCACAAAGGCCATATATGGGAAACCTACAGCCAACATCATACTCAAAGGGCAAAAACTAAAAGCTTTCCCACAAAGGTCATGAACAAGATAAGGATGTCTACTTTTCACCACTTCTATTCAACCAAATATTGGAGATCCTAGCCACAGTGATCAGACAAGAAAAACAAATAAAAAGCACCCAAATTGGAAAGGAGGAAGTAACAATGTCATTGTTTACAGGTTACATGATAGTGTACATAGAAAATTCTATACACTCTACCAAAAAACTACTTAACCTAATAAGTGAATTTGGCAAAATACAAGGATACAAAGTCAACATTCACAAATTGAAGGCATTTTTGCACACCAGCAATGAAATAGCAGAAGCAGAAATCAGGAAAATATCACATTTGCAATAGCAACAAGAAAAATAAAGTACCTATGAATGAACCTAAGAAGATAACAAAACAAAGAAATGAGGAAAATATAACCAGAGCCATTGAAATAAAGAACAAACAAGAGGTGAGGGGGCAGAGAGGTAACGTGGGAAAGAAGGAGAAAGGACAGTCATGGAACATGTATAAAGGACCCACGGACAAGACCAAAGGCGGGTAGGATTGAGGGTGCAAGGTGCAGATGGGTGGGGCAGGTGAGAGTGGTTGTGGGGAAAAAGGAGACAACTGTACTTGAGCAACAATTAAACAAACAAACAAACAAACAAATAAATTCTATTGTCTCTCTTTCTCTCTTGCTATGACTTGTTTCTGTTCTCCACTCTTACTGTTGTTCCCTCCTCCATCCTCTCAAAACCATTTGTGAGTGTCATTAGTCATCTTACATTCCTTCTCCCATTCTTAAAATATCCTTATTCTCTCTCCATCTTTATTAATCTTTGCTCATAGTTTGTGAATAAAGCTGTTGTTGTTACAATTCTTCAATCTTATTTCTAGATAGTGACTATATTTGTATTTTGAATCTCAAATTTTACTGCTCCTCTCTCTTACCGCATTTTGCCTTCCTCCTGTCCTTTCTAACATTTTTTTTTGTTTTAAACATTAATTTTTCCCTGTCTCAGCTGGGTTTTCATCCTAGACTCTCCCTATTCTTTCCCCCTCTATCCTCTCAAAAGAACTTTGCATTCCTTTAAACATCCCTTAAGCTTTTCTGTCTTTCCTTTTGATCTCTTATTCCCCTACTATGTATATAAAATTTAGCTCATTGGTTGTTGTTATTTCTGTGGTGGAGCTTTTTCTGCATATATATATATGCAGAAAAAAATTTTATATATATAAAATTTTGTTGTGATTTTTTTTCTCATTTTAAGTTCTTCCTTTAAATTTTGGTTTTAACCTAATGCTATATGCTTGCCCTATTTTACTCCATTCCACCTTCCCTCCTCCCTTTTTTAGTTATGAATTAAATGTTATTTTCTTTCACACTTTGCCTTGTCTCTGTTCCCTACTCTTATTATTGTCCCTTCAAGTAACCTCAAAAAATTATTTTTTCTTTCAGTTAGTCATACCCTATTTATTTTTTCCTTTCTTATAATAATCTTAATCCTTTTACATCTTTATTAATATTGGCTCCTTTGCTGTTGATAGCATAATTGTGGGTGGGGTTTATTTTTGCAGGTGTAGGTCTGTTTCCTGGGCTGTTTGGTTTTTGTTCTGGCAGCAGTTGTACAACAGTATACAAGATGTGGGAGGCTGAATCTCAGTAAGTCAGCCAAAGGGAAGAACTCACCAAAGAATAACCCAACAACAACGAAAACCCAATTACAACAAGAGAGTCCATATAAAAGGTATAAAGCACAAGAGTATCAAGCTGAGGTGATCAAGGACTGCACCACTGAGTCCCACAGATCTTCTACTACAGGAGTAGAAAGTGTATCAAGTTCAGGTGATCAAGAACTATCACCACATAGATAGTGAGTCAAAATAGATCAATATAAAATGCAGAAACAAAAAAGAGAAAACTCAACTAAAATGGGGAGAAAGAGAAAAACCCCAAATGAAAAGCAATGAAGAATACCCAAAAAGGCTGCTAAATGAAATTGAGGCAACCACTCTATCAGATGTTGTATTAAAAAATATATATATATAAGGATACTCAAGGAGTTTAGTAAGAACTTCAAAGAACTCCAGGGAAGCTTCAAGGAACTTGCTGTGAACCACACAAACATGAAAAAGGACATAGAAACTATCAATAAGATTTAGGAGGAAGCAAAAAATACAATATCTGAAATGAAGAACATAGTGGAAGGAATAAAATGCAGGTTAGATGAAGCAGAGGATTGAATCGGCGAGCTGGAGGACAGGGTAGAAAAAAATTCTCAGACAGAGTAACATAATGAAAAGTACTCAAAAACAATGAATAGGGGTTAAGGAAACTCAAGGACTACATGAAACATAATAATTCCCATAGCCCTGTCTGGTGTAGCTCAGTGGGTTGAGTGCCAACCTGCAAACTGAAGGGTCACTGGTTCAATTCCCAGTCGGGGCACACGCCAAGGTTGCTGGCTAGATCCCTGGTTGGGGACATGCAAAAGGTAAACACAGACTGATGTTTCTCTCTCTCTGTTTCTCCCTCCTTCCCCTCTCTCTAGAAATAAGAAAATAATAATAATAAAATACTTAAAAAATAACCATGTAATAGGGGTACCAGAAGGAGAAGAAGAGGAGCAAGGGATAGAAAACCTGTTAGAAAAAGTAATTACAGAAAACTTCCCTAACATGATGAGAGAAAAAGTCATGAAAGCCCAGGAAGCACAAAGAGTCCCAATCAAGATGAACCAAAAGAGACCCACTCAAATACACATCATAATTAAAATAGCAAAATTCAAAGACAAAAAGATAATCTTAAAGGCAGCAAGGGAAAAACTGGAAATAACATACAAGGGAACTCCATAAAGGCCAGCAGAAGATTTCTCAACAGAAACACTACAAGCCAGAAGGGAATGGCAAGAAGTATTCTCAATAATGAAAAGCAAAGGCCTTCAACCAAGACTACCCAGCAAGGCTCTCATTTGAAATGGAGGGCTAAAGAGCCTGTTTTAGGAAGATGAAGAAAAAGAGTGAGAGAAAAAGGAACACAAGTACAAAGGGAAAAAATGGCAATTAATAAGCACTTATCAATAAGAACTTTAAATGTAAATGGATTAAATACCTCAATTAAAAGGCATAGGGTAGCTGAATGTATGAGAAAATGACACACATATATGCTGCTTGCAAGAGACCCTCAGAACAAAACACCTACACAGACTGAAAAGGAAGGGGTGGAAAAAATATTCCTAGCCAATGGACAGGAAAAAAAAGCCAGGGTAACAATACTCATATCAGACAAAATAGATTTCAAAACAAAGGCCATAAAAGGAGACAGAAAAGGACACTTCATAATATTCAAGGGTGGAATTCATCAAGAAGACATAAATATTGTAAATATATGTGCACCCAACATAGGAGCACCGAAATATATAAGGAAAATCTTGGAGGACTTCAAGAAAGATATGGACAGAAACACATTGATAGTAGGGACTTTTAACATCTCACTGCCAACAACGGATAGATCTTCCAAACAAAGAATCCAAAGCATATTGTGGCACTGAACAATACACTAGATCAAATGGACTTAACTGATATATACAAAAACTTTCACCTCATAGAAGCAAAATACACATTCTTTCCTAATGCACATGGAAAAATTTCAAAGATAGGCCACATGACAGAACATAAAACACATAAAACAAGCCTCAAAAAATTCAAGAAAATTGAAATCATATCTAGAATTTTCTAAGAAAACTAGCTTAAAACTGGAAAACAACCTTAAGGAAAAAACTCAAAGAGTCAAATTCATGGTGACTGAAAAACATGTTATTATACAATGAATTGATTAACAATGAGGTCAAGGAAAACATTAAGAATATCCTGTAAACAAATGAAAATAAACACCCAACACCTCGAAACCTATGGGATACAATGAAGACAATCTTCAGAGGGAAGTTCATAGTGATATAGGCCTACCTAAAAAAGATAGAAACAGGGCCCTCGCTTGTGTGGCTCAGGTGATTGAGTGGTCATCTGTGAACCAAAGGGTCTCCAGTTCGATTCCCAGTCAGGAAACATGACTGGGTTGTAGGCCAGGTCCCCAGTAGATATGCACAAGAGACAACCATACACCGATGCTTCTCTTCCTCTTTTTCCCGCTGTCTAAAAATAAATAAGTAAACTCTTTTTAAGAAAAAATGTATAAACATATCAAATAAACAACCTGACCCTGTATCTACAAAAACTAGAGTAACATCAACAACAAAACCCAGATCAAGTAGAAGGAAGAAAATAATCAAGGCCAGAGCAGAATTAAATGACATATAGACTAAAAGAACAACCCAAAGGCTCAATAAATCCAGGAGCTGGTTTTTTAAAAAGATAAACAAAATTGACAGGTCTTTAACCAAACTCAAAAAGAAAAAAGAGGACCCAAATAAATAAAACCAGAAACAAAATAGGAGAAATTATATCCAGTACCACAGAAATACAAAGGTTTTTAAGAAATTACTACAAATAATTGCTAAAGAAATATTCCACCAACTCCATTATGGCAGCAATCCCCCCAGACTCCTGGCAGCCACCCAACGTATACTTAGAGATCAGCATGGGGATCACTGTGCTGGAGCTGTACTGGAAGCATGTTCCAAAGACCTGTAAGAACTTTGCTGAGTTGGCTCAACAAGGTTATTACAATGGCACCAACTTCCACAGAATCATCAAAGACTTCATGATCCAGGGGGGTAACCCAATAGGGACAGGTCAAAGTGGTGCATTTACCTATGGCAAACAATTTGAAGATGAACTTCATCCAGACTTGAAATTCACAAGACCTGGAATTCCTGCAATGGCCAATGCAAGGCCATTCACCAATGGCAGCCAGTTCTTTGTGACCCTAGCTCCCACTCAGTGGCTTAATGGCAAACACACAATTTTTGGCCAGGGTATAGGAATGGTGAATCGAGTAGGAATGGTGGAAACAAATTCCCAGGACTGCCCTATGGATGATGTGAAGATCATCAAGGCATACCCTTCTGGATAGCCTTGCTGCTTTTGTGGGCACACCAGGTCTTCAGAGACGGCCCGGTGAACCAGCTTCCAGATGACCTAGAATGACAAACAACTCAGCTTCATTTTGGCCTTTCAAATCATGGAGCTAAGAAGGCCTGGGGTCTTGAGTGAGTTAGAGATGGAAATGTATTTTAATAGAATGCTTATATTCACATATTCCTGACCTAAGTTGACAGAGCGTTTACAGAAATGCCCATGCATGACTATACACAGGTTGCTGTCCACTGTAGATGACCCACACTGCTCCTTCATGTGTGTATCTACCGTCATACACTTGGAAAAAAATGAAGCAAACTCTGTCATTTCTGTTTCCAACCAAACTTCTTTCTGCAAAGATTTCTATTCTGGCTTACACTGCAGTCTTTGGAGGCTGACGACCACAGAATTGAAAACCAAGTACTGTCTGTCAGCCTTCTGAATTCTGCACACCCTCTTCCAGTCCCCTACATTTGTTCTCCCTAAGAATGTCTGCATTTTTCAAAACCAGGACATCAGTGCTGCTGTTTCTGACACTTAGACATCCCACACAATGCCACATTGGATTTTTGCCAAATGAAAAATGCATCCAACAATCAAGTTTCTAAGAAGGTGCCAAGTAGAATGACAATATGTAATAATCAAGAAATGAATTTATTAAAGGAAGTAGAAGCATTGACCAATTTTTTCCTCAGGAAGGAGTAGAAATCTGTAGTGAGCATAAAGACAGGTTATGAATTCTCCTTAAAAAAAAACCACAACAGTATTCTCATAAAGGAGAAGTATCAATTAAGTTTTTTGTAAACCTAAGACTTTAGAGAAACTAACAGATTTTATTTTTTTATCTATTTATATGGGGTGGCAGTGATGAGAGAAAAGTAATACCCATGTGATACATAGAAACTCCATAAATAAAATACCATTGGTTGAAAAGAAAAAAGAAATTACTACGAACAAATATCTGCCAAGAAATCTGATCACCTAGGTGAAATGGACAAAATTCTAGAAACATCTTTCTTCCAAAACTGAATAAAGAAGAAGCAGAAAGCGTGAACAGACCAATGTTAGGTAGTGAAATTAAAGCAGTAATCAAAAAAACTCTGACACAAAAAAGCCCTAGGCCGGGTGGTTTCACAAGAGAATTTTATAAAATATTAAGGGGACAGGCAACACCTACATTTCTCAAACTATTCCAAAAAACCCAGGAAGAGAGAAGACTCTGAAACAGTGTTTATGATGTCGGCATCATCCTAACCCCAAAACTAGATAAAGACACAACAAAGAAAGAAAAATATAGGCCAATAATGCTGATGAACATAGATGCTGAAATGCTCACAAAATATTGGCAAACCAGATTCAGTAATCCATTTAAAAGATCATACACCATGATCAAGTGGGATTCATTCCACAGATGCAAAGATGGTACAATATATGCAAATCAAGAAACATAATACAGGACTTCAATGTGGCAGAGGAGTGTGTGCAAATCACACTGATCTCCTCCCAGGATGAAACTCGAATTGCAACTAAATTGTGGAGAAATCACCTGGAAAACAACAGAACAATAATGAAAGTGGAGCCTTAGAACCTCGGACAGACAGAGGAATCGGCTTTCACACAACCTAACTGGTAAGAAATATGGTGGAGGCTCAAGAAGGTGGGTGCCTAAAGGTAGCAGTGCCAGAGGCATATTGAAACGGCCAGGTGGATGCCCGTGAGTAGAGCAGGGTATAAACCATAAGCAGGGATATCCAGCCGACATCTCCAGAGCCCAAAAACACACAGAAAACAGACAACTGCGAAAAGCGTAGCAGTGCTCTCTGCCAGAGTCAGGTGGCTGGAGATGCAAATAGCCATTTAAAGGGCCAATGGAAAATTTTGTAGAGGCAGCCACTTACCCTGGTCACAGGGGAAAGGTGAGGGCAGAGTGGGCTGGAGCCACCTGAGGAAGAAAGAGGAAGATATTGATAGAGGAAGAAAGCTTTGGGGAGAGAACTGAGAAAGTGGCTGTTGGGGTCCCAGTGCAGACTCACCTCCCATTCAGCAGCTTCCATCTTGCCCAAGCATACCACTCCCCTGAGCAGCAGCATTATGAAAAGAAACAATAGCCCCACCCTCAGGAAGCTCACCCATGGTCCAGTGTTGTGCAGGCCTGGGTGCTGAGTACAGGGTGGCAGTCCTGTACTCAGATAGCAGATTCCTGGCTAAAGGGGATGCAGAGTGGTCAAGAATGCTTGAGGAGAGATTGGTGACAGAGATGTTGGGAACAGAACTGAGGGAGTAGCCAGGGGAATTCCAGTGCTGACTCTTCCCTGACTCCTCAGCATCCATCTGGCTCAGGCAGACCACTCCCCTGAGTGGCAGCAGCCCGAGAAGACAAAATACCCCCACTCTCAGGAGGCACTGCTCCACCCTGTGGTTCCTAAGCCTGATGGCTGAGGGCAGAGTGACTAGATTAACAACTGCACAAGACAGACAGAGAGGGCAGATTCCTGGAAGTCTAAAAAAAGATTGCCTAAGGTCAGATAGGGTCAATATCAGACAACATCAGAGGCAGATCCAGAAAGAAAAGAAAAAAAGAGCCATTTACTACCATAAAAGTTCACAATAAAAAGTCAGGAAATCAAGACAGAACAATTTAAGAAGCAAAAGCAAAAAAAGAGTCTCATAAGTAATGGGAAGACAAAGAAAGACCTCCTAATTGAAAATAAAGGAGGAATCTCAACAAAGAGAAATAAATGAAATAAAGGCAAGTAAACAATCAGATATTGACTTCAAAACAATGGTTCTAAGGAAACCCAATGGGCTCAGTGAGCTCAAAGCGAACTATGAAAAAATAAAGGGAAACTATAAGGAAATTACTGCAAACTATATCAACATGAAAAAGGATATAGAAACTACCAAGAATACAATTTCTGAATTGAAGAACACATTAGAAGAAATCAAAATCAGGCTAGATGAAGCAGAGGACCAAATCCTGGAGAACAAGGTAGACAAAAGCTCCCAGAAAGAGCAAGAAATGGAAAAAGGACTAAAAAAGTATGAAGAGGCATGGAGGAAAATGCAGGACAAACTGAAACGTAATAATATCCATATAATAGGGAAAAAAGAAGGACAAGAGGACCAAGGGATAGAGAACATGTTTGAAAAAGTAATGTTGGAAAATTTCCCTAAATACAGAAGAGTAAGAGTCATAGAAGTCCAGGAGGCACAGAGGGTCCCATTCAAGAGGAATCAATGAGACCCACTCCAATACACATCATTATTAAAATGGCAAATATCAAAGACAAACAGAGAACCCTGAGGACAGCAAGGGAGAAACAGGAAGTAACATACAAGGGAGCCCCGATAGGGCTAGCAGCTGACTTCTTAACAGAAACACTACAAGCCAGAAGGGTAGGACAAGAAATATTCCAAGTAAGGAAAAGCAAAGGCCTACAACCAAGACTTCTCTGCCGAGCAAGTTTCTCAATTAAAATGGAAAGTGAAATTAGGAGTTTCTCAAACAAAAGAAGACTAAAAGAATACATCTCCACCAAACCAGGACTGCAAGATATACTAAAGGGACTTTAAGAAGATGGTTTAAGAAGATGAAGAAAAAAATGAGAAATAGAGGAACACAGGTACAAAGGGAAAAGATGGATAAGTACCAAAAATAATAACTTTAAGTGTAAATGGATTAAATGCCCCAATCAAAAGACTCAGGATACCGGAATGGATAAGAAAACATGACCCACACAAACGCTGCCTATAAGAGACCCACTTCAGAACAAAAGACCCACAAAAACTGAAAGTAAAGGGATGGAAAGTAATATTCCAAGCAAACAGGAAAAAAATGCGGGGGTAGCAACACTTATATCAGAAAAAAATACATTTCAAAATCAAGGCCATAAAAGGGGACCCAGAAGGACAATTCATAATACTCAAATGAGGAATCCATCAAGAAGACATAAACAGTGTAAACTTATATGCACCCAACATAGGAGCACCCACATATATAAAGAAAATCTTGGAGGACTTCAAGAAAGATATAGACATCAACACACTGATAGTAAAGGATTTTAACACCCCACTGTCAACAATGGACAGACATTACAAACAAAACATCAACAAGGATAGTGTAGAGCTGAATGACGCATTAAATCAAATGTATTTCACTGATATATATAGAATCTTTCATTCTAAAGAAGCAAAATACACAGTCTTTTCAAATGCACATGGAACACTTTCAAGGATAGACCACATGATAGGATGAAAAACAAGCCTCCACAAATTCAGGAAAATTGAAATAATAACAAACATTTTCTTGGACAACAAGGACTTGAAAGTGGAAACCAACCACAAAGGAAAAATTAGAAAAACATTCAAACAAAATGAGACTGAATAACGCGCTATTAAACAATGAATGATTCCATATTGAGATAAAAGAAGAAATCAAAAAGTTTCTGGAAACAAATGAAAATGAACAAACAACAGTACAAAACCTATGGGAAACAGCAGCCCTGACAGGGAAGTCCATGGCAATACAGGCCAACCTCAAAAAGATACAAACATTTCAAATAAGTGACCTAACCCTACAGATTCAAGAACGGGATTAACAAAAATAAACAAATTCCAGAGCAAGTAGAAGGAAGGAAATAATCAAGATCAGAGCAGAATTGAATGGCATAGAGAGAAAAGAACAATTCCAAAGATCAACCAATCCAAGAGCTGGTTCTTGAAAAGATAAACAAAATTGACAAGATTTTAAGAAGGCTCATCAAGAAAAAAAGGGAGAGGACCCAAAAAAATAATATGAGAAATGAAAGAAGAGAAATAACAAATGATACCATAGAAATGCAAAGGATTGTAAGAAATTAATATGAATGATTATATGCCAAGAAATTTGAAAACGGTAATGATATGGACAACTTTCTAGAAACGCATAACCTTCTAACACTGAATGAAGAATGAGCAAGCCTGCATTGACCAATAACAACTGGTGTAATTGAAACA